CAGAGATACAACTGCCCAGGGTAAAAAGCAATAAGTTAAAATGTTCCTTTGTTCCAAGTGCAATGATGCACTGCTCAACAGCACTTGATCGTGGCTACCGTTCTGTTGGTCTTTTAATGAACAGATGCATTTTTTTATTTGGTTGTTTGCTGTTACTGTTGGGATAAATGCCCCATGTCCTCTTGTTTGTTGTATTTTTGTCAGTGCTGTAGTCAAGAATACCTTTGTGAAGTCCAAGACCAGGACTAGTCGAGACTGACATCTTGAAGATTTGGCAAGACAAATGGCCAAGGCCGAGTGCTGCTATAGAGTCCAAGACCAGTCCGAGACAATAGAAAAATCACTTGGAGTCCGGTCTTGAGTTCTCGATCTAGTTCTAAGTAGCAGTAACATTCAGCTGAATACAACTGAGGCTGACAATGTCTTAGACTAAAACATTTTAGGCTGAGGTCTGCCAACATCTATTAAAATGGCCACAGAGGATACAACTCTTTGACTTGGATAACAAAATGGCCTTTGTTGTGGCGCCACTTTCAGGCAAAAGGGCGGAAGTCCAAAGATGAGGCAGGCAGAACAAAAAGCTGGTAGTGAATGTTTGGAAAAGGGGCTGATATATATATACTGAAGAGATGATAAGGAAATGTGGAAAAAGGGTGAGCAGTAGGTGGGGGGAGCTCAGGGGAGGAGGAGGGAAAAGGGGTTCCTTGAGGGCAGGTGAGTGGATCTGAAATGACTGGAAACAAGTTGTCTCTCCATTTCTCATCCAATCAAATTGTTTTCTGGTATTAAATGAGCATCACAGCTTCAATACTAGTATTTATTACCAGACTGTCTTTTCTTAATCAAAATTCCTTTCACCTCTTTATATGCAAATAAAGTCAATCTAAACCTGTGTCTTTTTCTCCATGCAGTAACAGAACAGGAGGATGTAATTCCATTAACAGTATGCATTTACATGATACATTTCCAATGATGTGAATTATGGGCAAAGGTCTGCATGAATTTCCACCCAGAACAGGATGATAAAGTTTCACCAAACAGAGAGGAAATATACGGCAGAGACTCCCAGAGAGACGCGAAGCCGCAGGGTCGGCTGACTGTTTGCTCTCGTCAGTCAAACTGCACATTTCCCTGACTGGCTATAACCTCCTGGTGATGGGTGTGTTTGTTTTGGCACACTGGACAGGATCTGACAGCCCTAACTACACCCCACCCCGCCCTCACCCCAACCCATGGGACACACACATATATTACCTGTTACTGGTCAGCTGAGGACAGAGTATGTGTGTGTGTGAGTGTGTGTGTGTGTGTGTGTGTGTGTGTGTGTGTGTGTGTGAGAGAGAGAGAGAGAGTTTTTAGCGTGTTAATAAACCTGACAGAGCTGAGCCTGACAGTCCGGCTTAGACCGATGGAAGCTGATACTGTAGGGCTGAGCCTGACAAGCTGAGTCTGAGATGTCTTAAAAAGGCTGCAGCCAACCATCACCTACACGATATGGCCAAAAGTATGCGGACATCTGAACATACTCACTTGTGATTCCAAAAGTGGCTGCAGAGATTTAGCTCCCATTCAGATACAAGGGCATTTAGCGCGATCCAGAACTGATGTGGGGCAATGAGGCCTGGATTGTCCAGTTTATCCCAAAGGTGTTAGATGGGGGTGAGGTCCGGACTCTGTGCAGACCTGTCAAGTTCTTCCACACCACTGAGAAAACCTTTTCCTTATAATCTGGCTTTGTTTTTGGACAAGGCCCTCCACAATGGGTTGCCACAAAGGGGCAATATTGTCTAAAATATCATTATATGCTGCACAAATAAGATTTTCCTTACTTTGGAACTTAGGGGCCGAGCCCGAACCAAGATAAACAGCTCAGGACAAAAGATACCCAACGCAGACGCCACTTTTGGCCATATAAAAGGCAAATCATCAAAATAAATGGACATGGTCAATGAATGTGACTTAAAGATCCCCTCCTGACATGTATTTATACATATGTACACATAGTCTGCTTTAAATAATAATGTGTGGTTGATTTGTTTTTTCTACAAAAAGTAATATTAGCACAATACAATCAACAAGAATTTTCTAATTTTGGACACAAGCTGTCTCCTACTTCACTGTAAAGTCCATTCTCAGTGTGTGAGCACTGGTGACAAATTCCTACATCAGACTGGACCAGGATTGACTTCCAAACTATTTTTGATGTCACAAATTCTGCTCGTAGGCCCCGCCCCTTACAATCAGATATTCAATGAGCACAGAGAAACTTTCCACTTTCAGCAGATGAATGTGAAAACATCTTTCTAGAGTCAAACTCTGAACAGACATCACTCGGCACAGTGAAGCTCAAACATCCAACTGTAGGAACCAGAAGAAAAACACACAGGAGCGGAGGGGGACTTTAATTTTCGGGGTAACTTTTCACTTTTTCCAGGATACATTAAAACATTCAAAGTGCACAGATTTGATACACACTCAGGTATAATTTGCCCTGCTGTTTTCCATCAATGGAAAGTTTGAGCTGTCAGTTCATTCAAAAGGACAATAAGTAAAGCATTCAGCATGCAATTGTGTGTAACAAGTGTGTTAATTACTGAGCATGGACTGAGCATGGCAACCCGCTGGTCAACATTAGCTTTTCAATAAAAGCAAACAGGCTCTATTTGCTGCAGTATATTACACTAATTGTATCGACTGTGGAACAACAGAAGCCAATATTTGACAGGGGAAATATTTACTGTATACAACTATATCCCAGTTACATGGTGTGTGTCAGTAGTGAAGGAGAAGATGGCTAGACAAAATGTTTTTCTCTGTTGTTCAGCTTCGCCTTGCTCCCCAGTGTGGAGATAGACACAGTCACAGCTGCTTGTGAGAAGTACAACAGCTTTCTGTGGATTATGTGCCTTGCTCCGAGGCTGTGGATGCTGAGGAAGTGACACCTTTTCAGTGTTATTTCCATCAATTTATGCATTTAAACTACAAATCTCCTGGAGCAGCAAACCCGACCGTCTGAAGTCGACTGCAGCTTCTTCCAGCAGAGAAGAATTAACGAACATTATCCCGAAAGTCAAACTAGCGGATGCACTGAAGAGAGACAGTGTTTGTGCGTGTGGGAGGGTAATATGAGGAATCCAGTGACTGTGCTGACAACCCTGTTATCTGTGGAGTTTGTGCTGTACACAATGAGTCTCTGTTCGCCTCAGTGGCTGGTTGAGACTCATGGGGCCAGCGAGGGACTCTTTGCCCTCTGCAGCTCCTACGACGGCTTCTCCAGCTGCACAGTGTTTCCAGCCTGGCTGGGTAAGCATCCATTATCCATGATGTCATGTTTTGTTTATGGAGATTGTTATAATTCATCATGTGCTTTATTGATTTTTTTAGACAGAGAACAGTGACAGCTCTCTAAACAATAAAAGCTTCAATCAGCTCTTGTTTTTATACGTACGAGATGAGAAGTCGAAACAAAGTTCTTCTGCACTTTCTCAAATAAAGGAGAGCTTTATGTTGAAGTCAGTGTGAGATTCCCTTAATGCAGTTATGTTAATGAAGCATTTACTAATAATTATTAGATCAGTGATAAGCCATTAATCAGAACAACATTTGGTTGATTTATTTATGATTCCCTCACATTTAAAAGCTCAGACTTGATGATTATTATTATTAGAACATGAGAAACATGATTTCATAACCCTGGAAACAATAGATTCTAACTGATCTATAACAAGTATTAACGAGTATTTATTAATGACGGTGGTATCAAGAATTCCTAATTGTCCATTAAAAGCAAATGTTCATGTTTTAAAGGGTCAACTTTGCACTGCCCGTACATACAGTGGAGTAAAAGTATCAATACCACAGTGTATAAATACTCTGTTACAAGTAAAGGTCCTGCATTCAAAACCTGACTTGAGTAAAAGCACAAAAGTATTTATTTAAGTAACTTATTTTCATTTTTTATTTTATTGGTTATTGCACCAGAGTTAGTTACTAGTACCAAGTACCAAAAGTAAAAGTATTCATGTGCAATGACCCATTTCAGAATGTATATAATATCACTGGATTATGATTATTGATGCATTAATGTGTAAATATCAACAAAGGTGGAGCGAATTTCAACTACAAACTGCCGGGTAGCTTAATCTATAACATGGAAATACACACACATTAGAACTGTACTTAAACAGGCCTATAGTTCTTAAATGTTGTGCTCTTAGTTGCATTCAACAATTCATTGTGCCGAGCCTCTGTGATGTGTCTCAGACATATTAACGGGGTTCAGGCATACCCTAACAGTTAAGAATATATTAACCACCATAATGAAGTGTAACATTTAACATGGTGCTTTTTATGGTCTACTCGCAGGAAGCTACAGTTTGTCGTGGATGTTTCTCTCTGCTTCCAGTCTGCTGTCTCTGACTGCCGTGCTCACAGTCAGGCCTGCTCTGACCAGAGGAAAGACGGCCATCGCCGCTCTGCTCCTCAACATCCTCTCTGGTATAGCACACAATTTATAACCCCATACAGGCAAATATAATATATATATATTTATATATGGACCATGTATGCAGCAGGGAACAACCACAACCCTTCACAAGTTCCTCTACATACAGCAAACAGTAGATTCATACAAAGAAGTCATCATAGGCAGTAGTTGAAGGTCCAGTGAGGACTGAGGAGGATCTATTGGCCCATGTTTTCATTAGTGTATAATCACCTGAATATAAGAATTGTTACCTTTGTTTCTACAGTAGCCCAGAACGGACAAACAAAACCTTGCCTCTAGATAGGGTATTTCACATTTTTCACAGGTTTTGCCACCGTAGTTTCTCCTACACGCTTGGAACAGGAGCATGAGTGAGCGTAAACAGCTAGATGACACTATATCCTACACACCGGTCCTTTAAATATCGCAATAATTGTGTTGCATTTCAGTGAAAAATGGGCCTGCAGTTACTTAATGGTGCATGGAAAATGTATCCTCAGTGGAGAGCAGTACATCACCGTGACATTTCATTTTAATTTCAAATGTTACCATCAACATTCATCATTCATCATTATCATCTGAACTTTAAACCTTATTTTGGTTTGTACTCGTATTGTTATTGAAAACTGGAGGAAAAAACACAGATAAAAGGTATAAAGTTTAAAACCACATTGCATTTAGACATATTCAGCCTGTTAGGAAACAGTGTTCTACTTTTGGCGCCTAAGGAGAAGCTGTAAACACTCAGGGCTGATGTCAAGTTTAAATTAGGGAGAGTTTAAAGTTTAAATTGCAGAATGTAGTAGGACGTTTTATGTAATGCGTCCCGTCCTCCTCTGCAGTTGCTCTCTGTGCCGCCGCTCTGATCGCCTTCTTGGTGTCCATCGAACAGCAGGAGCCGGAGCTGCTGCAGCACCTCGGCTGGACCTTCTACATCTGCTGTGCCACCCTCTTCTACGCCTCGCTGGTGACCGTCCTGCTGGGTGTCATTCGCGGCGAAGGCGCCAGGGTTGAACCGGCTGGAAGTGGTGCAGCTGTGGATCTTTCTGTGATAGCAGCCTGACAAACAGATAAAAAATAGAAAATGTGCAGCTTTAAATTCACATTATAATACATCACCTTCTTATACAGTTTATTTCATGTATATATTTGCTCAGGAATATCAGGGAACTGCATTGTAATGTTCTGCTCTTAATCTTTTTTTTAACTTATCTGTATCTTGTACCTACCTCCGTCTCTGGTCTGTCTCTTGTGCTGCTGTAAAACTTAAAGTCCCCGTTGACTCAAAAATCAGTTGTTCTTCTTGGTCCTGCAGTGTGATGTTTGAGCCTCACTGTGCAGAAGGATGTGTGTGCAGACTTTGACACTAGAGGGATGTTTTCACATTCATCTGCTGAAAGTTTCTCTGTGCTCATTGAAAAATCGGATTTTTAAAGGGGCGGGGCCTACGAGCAGGATTTGTGACATCATAAATGATCCATCCTGGTCCAGTATGCAACTTGTGATGTCGAAACCTGAACCCACCAGTGCCCATACACTGAGAATGGACTTCAGACACACATTGCTGCTCCAAGCAGACTTTAAGTCTAAATACATGTATGGAGGGGGTCTTTAATATCCCCCTCGGGACGTAAAAAAAAGGGTTATCTTAAAGTTTGTGATCACATAACTTAAAATATAGATGAGAACTCACTTTATAACTTGGCACAGGAGGGAAATACTTTAAACAGATTTGACTGGGAATGGAGGAGTTCACTAATTTGCATTTGAGTCTGCTCCCACACGTCTGAATGTCCAAAACTTTATTTCCTCCTGACAAGAAATCAAAGCGGTGGTGAGTGTTTTTGAGTCACAGCAGTTTTATGAGGATCACCAGTGTGAAGAACTGAGAGTGAAGCAGAGGACGACGCTGCTGAACATTTCATTTTAACGGACTGTATCGCAGCCCGCTCTTCAGTTACAGCTGAAAGAGGAAGCAAGTGCTGCATTACTTTAAACAATTAAAAGCTCTAAAGAAAGTGTGCACTTCTTTATCACACAGCGCCTCCTGGTGGTGGAGGCATGGAGTTATTATGCAACCGAAACATTTTCACACCTTCAGGTTCCAGTGAGTGAGCAGGGTTCTTATACTTTCTATCCAAACCGCTGGATATGTCGTATAGTGATGACGAAAGTATAACCAATAGTGTGTGTTCTTACTGAAGTGCAGAACTGTTAAAGGATCAGTCTTTGTTGTTCTGCAGTGAAGGCAATGGGTTTCAGCATCAGCCTGGTTTTACTGTCAATCATGTCTGCGCTGTAAAAATAGCAAAAAGGTTCCATTTTTAAAAGATCTTAAACAGGCAAGAGGAGATTTTTATGCTTTAACATAACATCATAACATAAAACAGAGAGAGTGAAGAGAACCACTGAGGTGATGAGTGAATTATACTGACAAAACTTCAGAAAACAGCAGGTAACTAATGTCCAAGAACAGTAACTGGGACTATTTGAATTCCAGCGGTGATGTTTTCCAATGAGCCGTGGACTAAAATGTATTAAATATTTATTTTAATTTCATTAAGATTTCTACCTGGAGAAATGAAGGAAAAGAAAGGCTCTTGTAGGGTGTACACACTGAAATTAAGGATCAGTGATGTAGTTCCTTACTGTTGTTCTGATCAGTTTGAAAGATGATTACCACCACTCAGGTCTCTTTAAATAACCTGTGAATTTCTCCTTCAGTTACCATCATTAAATACACTTCTTTCACTTACAAATGTAGAAGAGAAACCTTATTAGTGTCATCAGTTATGAATTCATTTTTAATGCACTGTAAACCCTGTGTTAAATTCAGGCTCCCAGTTAGACGCAGGTCCCCTTTACTAGTCTGGTGTGGTTTCACGTTTTCACAAATAAACTCAGTTCTCAATCAGACACCTGGTCTGGATTTTATAGAAATTCTTTGGATGTATGAAACCTCTGAAAGCCCACTGGGTCCCCCGTCTGAGTGAGTTTTAAGATGAAATTTACAGTCATACGTTCAGTTCATAAATATGCTACAACAATCCTATTCATTATTAATACTATTTAAATAAGAATTACTACTACTAAAGATATACAAGAAGCAATAAAACTATGACTGAACTGATTTTATTGTGTGGGTTGTGTACACAAAACATCAAGAGAGACAATTACAAAAAGCCCTGGAGAAGGTGGTTCTCTTTTCCCCAGAGAGACAAAAAGAGAGTGAATTACAATACAGGGCTTTGTGGAATTAACAGAAAACAAAAGACATTTGTTAGTAAATTTCAATCAACATGATACATTTGACTTGAGGTGGATTACTGTAGTGTAAACGAAGTGACCAAGCTAAAAGGAAGTAGTCTGACAAAATCAAGTCCAGCAGACGGTCCCTGAAGAGGGAAGAGAGACAGACTGAGGTTCCCCATTGGTGCAGATCATTATATCAAACCCAATAAATGCTATAATACTGAGTCAAGGTTGGGGGGGGGTAAAGCCAATAGTGAGCAGTAATGCTTTACAAACCAGGGAATGTGCGTCAGTTGTTTTGCAGATTTAAGGTGACAGTTACATAATTACATGAAAATGACAACCGGTGCTGTGCTGATGTTTTGTTTGTATTTGAGAACATACATGGTGTCACTGTACAGCCCTGCCTCGACCCCCAGTGCTGCACATAAAGACAGACAGCTGGCAAGATCTGCATCCGAGGGGGGGTTTTGTGCGTTTGAGCTTGGGGAGGTTTGGCATCTAAGGGGGGGGGTCACTAGGATCCATCAGACTCTTCCTGACAGACAAAGAGCTCAACTTCCAGCATAAATCTTCACCTTGCATCAGCAGAAATCATTTTCTAAAGAAAATACACACAGACGAAAGAAGTAAGCCAACCCATGCCCATATATTTGTAAATCCATAAACAGATCGATTGATTATGAAACTAGTCGTGATTTGCAGGACTAATACTCTTCATGTGAATCTGGATTAAATGTACTATTGCAGAGACAGATGAATAACAGGTAGAGTAACTCCTCGAGTCGACCGGGCGCGGCTCTGTGACACTGTTGCGGTTGTCATGCATGCAGCTTCGTGCCAGATTTGGTGAACTCGCTCAAATTTAGTTGATTTGGACATTATTCCTTGATTTATGTACCTCTACCAAAGGTTACAATGAAGGCTCTTCTGTTGTCATCTGAACAGGCAGAACTGATTTGAAAAGACAATACATCTAATAAAAGCAATAATAATGAACCCTTCTGGTGGTCGGGGAGAAAGCCATACAGACTTACGGCGATCCTAATCATCAATCCTCGGAAAAGTCATGTCGCCCGCTCTACGTGAACGCAGATTCCTTCATTTGGCGCCGTTGTACTTGACCTCCTTTCCACATTTCTTCAGCGTCTCCATGAGGAAGTCCGCATCTTTGTCGGACTCGATCCAAACCAGTTTCTTAGGCAGGTCGATCTCAAACTTCACATCTGAGAGCACAGAGAACAAAGAGGCACTTTGTTTCATTCCAACAGGCAATATAAGCCAACACAGAAGATTCACCATGAGACGCTCTGATTCTAATTCTGGTTATAAGTTATAATTCTGGCTCCAGTTCTCCAGTAAAGAAAATCTTTTCATCAACTTACACTCACAAATTGACGAGATGTGACAGTGTAAGAGGATCTGTATTTACTTTATGAGCCTTTCGTAATCTCACTGTCCAGAACGTGAGACTGGTATGAGCTAGAAAAACAGAAGTGGCACTTAAGCAGTCAACATTTTAATGACTAAGCCAAATAAAAGTCTTAAGAAAGTACCAGTGCATCAGGTGACACGTTGGCTGACTCACCATTCAGAGCCAAGAAGTCATGGGAACGGGTGTGATGCAAGCTCAAAAGTGTTCAATCTGCACATTTACTGCCACTGGCCCCTCTGTGAAAGCACAGTGGGGAGAGCTCTGGGTTCTTTTATGCTTCGACTTAAAGAATTAAACATTACACACTACGAATCAAAGGATACGGCGATATTCTAAAGAAACACATTCTACAATTGGTTGTAAACAAAAATTCACTTTACGTATGCATGCATGCATTTCAACTGGGAGAAAGCAACAGCCGCAGCCATCTTAACAAGTTGAAACTACTGATAAGGTTTTACAGTCAACGTCAATACTTGTAGACCAAAGCATTTGGGTAGCTGATCATTTGGGCCAATATTAAAAGCGCCTACATCTTTAAAAAAGAACCAGTGTGCAGGATTAAGCATCTAGCTGTAAAGTTGCAGACTGCATCTCCCTCGCTTTACCCCTCCTCTTTCAAGTGAAAGGAGAAACTACAGTGGCCGTAAAAAGAGAGCACCGACTGCAAACGCACCGACATATGAATGATAAAAGGGACGGTCGTATGAATCCATGTCACAGCATATTGGAAACAGTTTATTAACTATATTTAAACAGACTGAATGCTTCCTCGTAAAGACCTAACTGTGAAGGAAGGTATACTTTATTATTTATAAATCTTACACTGCTAATCCCTCCATGCAGAAACTGAAAATAAAGTTTTAAATACTCATTGTTCTTTTTTAGTTTAAGCGGATTTGTCACTGATGTATCTTTAAAGACTTTACATTAGTAGGAGAAATGTGGAGTTTGGCTTCCTCACAAAACACAAGAAAAAGAAGACAAATAGTTTTTAGAATAAATTTGATAATGATATTGGCAAAATGCTTCATTGATAGACGTAAATTCAGCATTCAAAGAGCCTCTTTTGTTGCTCTCCTGAGGGACGTTGAGCAATATGTCAACAAAAAGCCTATCAGCTCAGTGTCTAGTGCAATATACCCCTGCTTTATACTATTGTTCCATGTGTATGCTATCTCGTTTCACGGATCTGTATCGTATTCTTTTGATTTGATTTATTATCAGAGCAGGAACAACTGTCACAAAGCCTTTTTTCTTTTTTTTAAAACTAAGATTATGCAAAAGGAGGTCATATTTTAATGCAGGTGGTGAAGGCAGAGGTCATCACTGTAGAATAATGATATATTGAGAAATCAGGCAGCTGGAAGAACATCTGGACAGACTGTGGGTGTCTGTCCTTCCTCCTCCTGCAGCAACCCGGAGAAGCACCGAGCCCTGAGGACAGATCAGTCTCACCTCCCAGCTTGTTGAGGATCCTGGTAACAGCTCCAGAGCATCCCTCACAGGTCATCGCCACCTCAAACTCGTGCTTCTGTATTGTGTGTGTGTCAGACAGACAGACAGACAGACAGAAATAATGGGTGTCACTGATTCCTGCAGACAGCCGACTAATGCAATGTTTGAAAGCTACCTTAGCTCGCAGGCTACTTCGCAATGCGGGGAGGAAACTATATCCCAACTTTTCCTCCCTTTTGAAGCTAAACTTTAAACGAAAAAAAAAGTATCTTAGTGGTAACTTACCGTCATGTTTGTGGCGCAAAAAAAAACAACCCCAGCAGTGGACTTTCACCTCTTACTGACCCGCAAATGTTTTACGAACCGCGGAGAGGTGCTATCTGGTTAGCTACTGTGAAGCTAGCGCCAATGAGCGAGGCCGCGGGCCACTTCCGGTGTGAGATAATTAATTTGTAGATGGGCGTGTTGTTATGTTGCAACGTTTTGAGTCATGTAGTCAGTAGTTTTGTGTAATTATTAAAAAAAAAAGAGGATTTAACGTGTAATAAATGCAAACTAAAAGAGGACATCATTTTATAACGTTAGTTTAATTTGGCTAAACCGGCGTCACTTCCGTCTTTTATTTTGGCTAACTTGACGCACAGCGAGCTGCCACCGGGTGACTTGACCGGATGTTCCTGTCTTTACTGCGTCTTTTCACACTTCTTTTTTATCATTTAGTTTCTTGTCACTTGCTTGCTTGAGCGAATTAAAAATGAAAGTAAACATTAATGAAAGAGAAACCGCGTAGGGTAACCTCTAAACGTAGCCTCAGTGTAGGCTGGCCGCCCCGGCACACAAACCAAGCGCTTCCCAATCCGCAACATTCTTCCAAAATAAAAGTCATTATTATTATCAGTAGTAGTATTTTTATTATTTTTTTAAAGAATGAATACAGACTTAATCAAATAACCAGAGACGAGAGTAAAATACAGATTAAAACTTTACAACTTCAGCTTAACACACACACACACACACATACATATATAACGTTATTTTAACCACACGCAGTTAAAACGCTATAATCCGTATCTATGGCAACAGCGCGTCGTCCTGTGTCCGGGTCACGTGGCCGCACCGCTGGCTCTGTGACGCGCAGGGTCCGGGGCCGACTCTTGTTTTGCCTTCAGTCGGTGCAGCGTCGCCGCGCCGGGATTTCAACCGGACAATGACCGCGATATGAAAATAAGTAGGTCTGCGGCGCGGTTAGCCTCTCGTAAAGAGTCCCGAGATAGCAGAGGAGAGAGGAGAGAGACGAGCACACACTGAGGTAAGGAGGGGGGGTTGTTTACGGGCACAAAGATGGCATCGGGAACAGACACAACGTTAGCTACCGCGGGCTAACCGACGTGTATGACACATAACGTCGGTTAATCTGCTGGAAGAGCCGAAGAAACACGAACTGTCATGTTTCCACTCGTGTAACGAGTCATTACAGGGGATCAGCTATATATATATATATATATGCTTACTAACATATCTTAGTTAACCTCAACCCGAGTTAACGTTGGAGAGGCTTTTCTTGCTGTGTGTGTGTGTGTGTGTGTGTGTGTGTGTGTGTGTGTGTGTGTTGTTGTGCTGTCGTGAAAGGACCACACTGATTTTTTTCCAGCCGTGAAAAGAGCGGTGGAAGACGGGGTAAAGGCAGCCGATGTGGTCCGGCCGCACCCAGGGGCGCACACGGAATGTGTGCTGTGTGTTTGCTTATCATCTGTAAACACTGGGAGCTCTTTTAATATTTGCATTCAGACCTTTGACTGTAAAGGTCACTGTTTGCACCTTTCATGTAGATTTCCTTTACCTTGCACTGGAATGACCTAATGCCTGTTTTACTCAACTGTACACTGGAAAGAAGACTTTTTTCCCCCCCAAGCTTTTATTATTGGATTTGGGGGTTATTTAGGTGGATAAGATTTAAAACTGGAAAAAATGATCAAGTAGTTGCTCAACTGACTTGTTAATCGACAGAAAATGTATCCGCAATTATTCTAAATATTGCCAAATTTATATTTTTTCAAGCGGAAATGGCAAAAATGCCAATCCATTTTCTGGTTTCAGTCTCTCAACTGAGAAAAAAGGCTGTTTATCACATTGTTTATTGAATATTTGGGGGTTTTTATAGTATTGGTCAGTCAAATTAAGCAATATTAAACTGCCTTGTTGGGCTCTAGGAGATTATACTGGATATTTCTGACTACTTTCTGTTCAATTGTCGAACAGCAAAACACAACAGACAGATTCATAATGAAAGTATGAATAAATCATAATAAGACAGAGCGAAAGACTCCCGGACACTGTCCCTGTTCACCTGCAGCCAGAGGTAGTTCGATAATGTTTCAGGTTATTTCAGCAGAGAACGGTCCGGGTGCTTCTGTTGTGCGTGGCGGCTCACTTGGGAAGGAAACAGAACCTCAGTGCTGTTATTGTTATTGTTATTCAGCCAGACAAGAAGTCAAGAAGATCGAGCTATCTATTTACATATTCGCTAAAGGAAGGAGCGAGAGAGGCAGTCAAACAACTACTTACGTACTTATATACGTCTCTGTTAACGAAACTGTTAACAGAGAAACTAGGAACATCCTAACCCAGAGATCTGGAGAGAGAGGGTGAGTGAGAAGGTTGAACACGGCCTACCTACTGACAGCCCAAGAGAAGAGGGAGAGACCCCGACCACTGCTGGCTGAAGAGCTGTGGACTGCAGCAGCTTACATGGGAATGAATTGCAATTTATTTCTCGTGTTACTCACATCGCTTCCTTAATAAGGGACTTTCTTCTAACTGAGGGTGTTGCTTGAAAGAATAATTTAAAGTGACAATATTGAAAGCTACCCAGTGGGATATAAGAAGAGCAACATTATCACAATCAAAGCTTCATTTGCAGTCTTAAAATGACATAATGACCTTTGCTGAAGGTTTATTTCTCTTTTTGTCTTCATCCTTGTCCCGTGAAGAAACTGTGAAGTATACATGTATGAACACATTGATTCTTCATCCAGTGTTGATGCCAGAAATCACACACCGACGCTATCTGCATTTCCACGGGGCTCAGTTTAGTCCTCTCGTGTCACAGCACTTTGTGGAAGCTGAGTAGCTCATAATGAAGACGTGTTGGCCCACGGTTACGCTGTAGTTGTTCAGGAAGTCACACCTCTTTTCTGCTACTCTTATTACTCTATTTGGACACACGTCAGGCCTTGCAGTTCATTTTGTATTTTTTTCCCGTAAAATACACACAAATCCAGTTTCACAAGTTCTTCTGAACTTGTCGAACACTGAACGTGCTGTGACAAGGAGTTCACGGAGGCGCGCTCACTAGAAGTTACGACCGCTGGGAAATTAAAACAAGTTTGGTTCCCAAAAAAGTGCGGCATAATCTGAGCTGTTTTGCCGTCACTGCTGCGAAAGCAGTGACAGGGCAGGTGGACGGCAAAGCCTTTGTACAAATCCTTGTGTGATTAGAAGAAGCAGCAGCGACACACAGCTCTCACACACCCTCTTTGACCTAACTGCCCCCCTGCTGCTCTTATGTAACGCCATGGCTCAGTGCGCCGGGGTTAAGTGCCTTGCTCAAAGACCTAAGCAACACGAAGTCTAGATCCCCATACCTTCTCATTCTTATTAAAATGGAGCAATAATGATTGCATCATAATCACAGAATGACTATAATGTATCAGAGGGAGTTTATTATGATGATCTGAACCAGTTCATACATTAGTGGAATTTCACATCGAAATGAATGTTTTTAAATCCGGTTTTAGTTCAAATTGTAAGTGGAGATGGAAAGTTACTTTTTATAATATACTCAGCTGCATTATACCTATGATTAGTCATTGATTTATTGTCATTTTATTGTTTTTGGGGTAATGTTTTAAGGACAACATTTCTAAATTCTCTGATTTCAGCTTCTCAAATGTGAATATTTTATGAGTTCTTTAGTGGGCAGTGACAGTAAACTGAATATCTTTCATTTTTCACCACTTTCTGACATTTTATGCACCAAGAAAGAAATCCATACAATATAATATTGAGTTGTTTTACTGATAAATTGACAGAGCATGTCCTTTTGGTGTCATTATTGGTAAATCTGGCAGTTATTTGAATGATCTCATGTGATCTGTCAGTGTAACTTCTTTCTCACTGTGAAGTTAACGCTCACGTTTCCCCGCTGCTGCTAAATCTGACTCTGAATGACTTTCTCCGTTTTGCAGTGGGTGGCTGTCGATGCTGGACTCCCTGATCTGCCGGTATTAGGATCAGCGAGGTTGGGAGAGACGACACCCAGCCGTACACTAAACCACCTAACCCAACATGATGGCCTCCAGCGATGTAGACATCCGGAGTGAAGGTATGGAAATCAGGTGCTCTGTTATTTGTCAGTACAACTTTGCATTGACTTCTTGGACCCCGAACTGAAACAAAGTGAAAGATTGTGGTCTGGGTCTGGTGCACACAGTGTAATACACACAGACGCAGTGGGATTATATGTAATCCCAAATGGCGGGTAGACACTGAATCATCAAAGCAGCTTTTGGCGTGGCTGGTGTCTTGTTTGGCAGGAGGTCACAACAACACATTCAATATTTAATATGTTGTGATGAAGGTACAGTATCTATGATTTATTTATGCCATGAAGTGAAAGAACTTTCACTTGTTCTTCATGAAATTATAGGACCAAGTTGTTGACAAGGGAGAAAACATTTTAATGATTTTGTATCTGAGTCATTCATATTTTTGGAAATAGCATATGTACAGTGTGTGGATGCTCCATTAAAGGGCAAGAAGCTAATTTGAACACCAGTGCAGAGCTGCAGCGGTTAGTCAAATGACAATTGATTAATAAGAGTAATGTTTCATGCAAAAACTAAATATGATTTCCTGCTTTTCTCTGTTTTATATCACATTGAACTGAATATCTTTTGGTTTTGGACTGACAGAACAAGAGTTTATAGACCAGATGATTAAAAGGACAAGCAACCAACTGAATAACTGCTCGTCTTTTAAAAGCGCAGGAGAAACTACAGTGGCAGTGAAACTTGCATAAAGAGCAAAAGGCCCGGCCTATGTAGAACCAGTGTTTGGTTCAATCATTAGTTGCAGCCCTACAAGCTGGGGCGGCGAGGGGAGTCCAGCTGTGCAGCACAGTGCTGTGAGTTTTAAAGTTGGGCCTCGGTTTCACTTCAGTATTAGTTCTCACGTTGTGAGTAGACATTCTGTCTGCTAATGCAACAATGAATACTCTGCTTTTTATCCCTCCTACGCTAAAATATGCTTGTAAAAAGGTTAGAAGAGTCACAAGAGACTAAAGTGAACTGCTCTGAAGCCCAGCAGTCTGGGTGCTTAAGATGTGCAGTGTCTCACGGTGTCGTGGTTAAACATCGAGAACGTCTGTGTTAACAAGCAGGTAGCTGCAGTTTTAATTAAACCAACATTACTGATGTGTGATTTTGGCCTTGACTTGTCTTGATTTGACTTGATTTAGATTTAGTTCTAATCTTTTGACAACAAATAGTGCTTTTTGTGCTCTAGGGTACAGCTGTCACTCTCTTTGATGCCTTTTTAAATGTTCTTTGTAATGGGTTTTATGTGACCCTGCCACAAGCCCTCGGTCTCACAGAAATGCTGTTTCTTAACACTACTAATGTTCGCTGGACCTTTGACCTCTTCAGACTTGTTTCCCTTCTCCATGGACCCTGGATGTTGGTGAAGTTGTGCCAGAAAATCTTCTCTGCATTAATACAATACACACCCAAACTACCATAGGCTTGCACACATTCCTACCAAAAATAAAGGAAAATAGCCAACTGAAGGTAACTTAACGTCCACATCCAGCAGTCCTTTATAATGTGAGCTGACCTTTTTATAATTGTTGGAATGTTGGCCGGCCTGTTGTATTTTCTCCCTGCTCTTTTGTTGTCACCTGTTGTTGAATTTCACTGTTGTTTATGTAACATGAGCAAACCAGCAGGGACGTGTTATTAAAATGCAGGACGCTGCTTATTAGTGCAGCAGAAAAGGTAGTTTTGGGTAGTGGAGGATACCGTTTTCACCAAGCAGGAGCAAATAAAGTGCAGACCGCTGAATAATACTATACTTATTAGTTACATACTTCTAATACTAGTTATATAATTTGTCCATTGTCCAGTTTTTCACATTAGTGTTAAAAAATGATGATATATTTCATCATAGTTGAGTTACTTGTTATTAAGTCAGTTTTCATTGTAAAAAAAAAAAAAAAAGCTTGACTTAAAAGAAATATTTTTCCTCTCTTCTCCCTCTTCCCCCTCCTTTCTTGGTCTCAGGTTCTCTGTTCTCTGACCAAAATCCATCGGAAATGGATGCGCTTTGCCCCTCTCCTCCTGGACCTACCAGACCCCAGCGTCACTATGAGAGGATTGGAGAACGGACGGGAACCTCGTAAGTATTGCGAACTCTAACGTGCCCTGAGCAGCCAACAGTCAGTAACAACTGTCTGTCTAAATGGATTTAAATAAAAATGTAGTGGGCCTGATTCTAATGCGGATATAACTTGCTGTGTTTCTCTTCTCCAGTTTTTGTCAGACCCTCATCCACCTTTTGAAAGGGAACATCGGTACCGGGCTGCTCGGTCTGCCCCTGGCTGTCAAGAATGCAGGCCTGGTGGTAAGCACACAGAGATTTTATTATCTGATCACAGCAGGTCACATGACGGGTCTGGAAGCACCAAATTAGATTCTGCTCCTGTTCCTGTCAAATATTCATGACATAGCACAGACGTGGTCGGGCTGGCCTCGCAGGACTTCGGTCAGCAAGTACACTGTGGTTGTGTGTTAGTGCTACTGCAGTCGGTCAGTCAGACAGGTTCTACCGTTAAGGGAAGCAGGACTTTGTTTCGCCCCCCCCAGCTGTAACCTTGTTCACAGACTCGTGTAGAGAGCTGTGGTTGGGGTGAGAAATCATTTGCATATTGCATCAAAGTGAAAGATTGTGGTCAGAGTAGTGCGAATGAAAATGATTCTCACGGTGTTTCTAATCTAAAAGACTAAAACAATGTAACTGTTAATGATTAAGCTTCCACTGTACTGCTTACCAGGCTGACAACTTTACATGGAGGCTAAAGTCACACTGATGAAGGCTAGGAACCAAATGAAGTGATGAAAAGTAATCTGAACATCTAAAAATCTCAAGTTACTCATTATGTTGATTCTCAGAGAAAAGCATCAAGTGTTTTTTCTCCAGTCCTGTCTCAGTCATCCCCCTTTCATTACACCTGGTTTCCTTTACATTACTCTGAATTCATTTAATAAAAGCATTTGCACAGCAACAGATGAGGCAAAATATTGCATGTAGACAGCAGCAGGGCTTCAACTAACAATCATTTCTCAGCTCTTAATCGATTGGTTTGTAAAACAGTGAAAGATGCCCATCACAATATTCTGGAACAGTCCTAAAACCAAACAATAATGGATTTATCATCATGTTAGACCAAGAAATGCTGCAAATTCTTACATTTGAGAATCTGGAACTATCACATTTTTGGCAATCTTTCTTGAAAAATTGCTTAAATTTATAGTGGGATAGTCTGTTAATTGCACTCTTGAGTCTTCAATTAGACTTTACTGAACTCATAAGACATCCTCATGTTTAACAGCATTGAAAGATTAAATAAACTCTCCGTCCCTCCCTTTCCCTTTTTGACCTCTCTGTCTGTCTCTCCAGCTCGGACCCATCAGCCTGCTGATTATGGGTTTCGTCGCAGTGCACTGCATGAGGCTGCTGGTCAAATGTTCACACCACCTCAGTGCAAAGTAAGAACACACCGAAAGTCTTAGGACTATAAAACCAATATTCGCTCTGGGTTTCCGTCATTTTACCTTCATTTCAGTCTCTGAATGTCAGCTCCAGTTTACATTGTAGAAAGCAAGTGTTTCAACGTGTCCTTGAGCAAAATACTGCTCTAGACTTGCACGACACGTCTGCATTGTCCATTGTACTGTCTGGTTTCTTTAGTTCTCTATGACAGTAAACTGAATGTCTTTGGGTTGTGTACAAAAACAAGACATTTGAGGACGTCACCTTGAGCTTCTGGAGCCAGTCATCAGTATTTTCAGATAACGAAAATAATCGTCAGTTGCAGCCCTCAACCAGAGATAAAAAAAAGGGAAGTTACAACTGACTAAATGCTATAAAGAACACCTCTGTATGTTGTTATATCACCCAACCCTTAATCAAAAAGTTCACCTTCCCTTGTTTGAAGTGTTTTTGTGAAATATAGAACAGTTTTCACTAAACTGGACAGAGAAAAGGCAGGTTGAGATGAAGTGGGTTCGATTGGAGGTCCTTATCCATGTGGTTGTCTTTCCCCTGCCATAGTTTGTTTGCAGAACGCAGCCTGAACATAATTTCTTGTCACTACCTCCATTCTCTCACAGCGGGCCCACTGTGGCTTGTTTCTGGCAGATGATCTAACGCTGCATGCGCTGTGAAACCACAGCTTTTTGCTCTGCTTTTGTCACTCATTTGTTTACTTAGCCGTCCAGAGTGCACACAGCGACTTGTTTGTTGTCGCTGGATGACAGATTACACTCTATTTAGGGATGTCTCTCCACCCTTTTCTGCTCTGTAATCAGCGGCATATTAGCACCGAGGTTTGGAGTGCACTCACACCGACCGAGGCTCGAGGCTCGAGCTCCACAGACCAGACGCAGTGTAACTGTGACCCGTGATCATCTCCACCCGTCAGAAGGGCTGCTGTAAATGTTGTCCCCAGTCCAACTTTAATGCACTTTTATGTAACTGAACGAGGCAATAAACCACGGGAATGATCTGTTTTACAGCTGTTGGTCTGTGACAACCGAGGTGATTAACACGCTCATGTACACTTTAACCTGTTATCAGATTCCCATTAGTGTGTTTTGCAGCTTGGTGCTGGTCAACCCGCCCATCCACCGTGTCCTCTCGCCCTTTGCCCCCGTTCATGCAGGGATATACACCGACTCTGCCCCCGCCACGCTAGAGATTAAGCAGGTCGAGAGCATGAATGAAGAGCCTCTACAGCGAGCCTCAGATATAATCTAAGAAAGAAAAGTCACACATCAAGCTGAGAAACACAGAGAAGAAAGGCCTGTGGGAAAAAATGCTTATCTTCCTGTTTTTTTTTTTCTCTATTGCTGAGAACAAGAGTCAGCACTTCCTCTTGTTGTCTCACAGACTCATACAGACATGAAGTTTCATTTATTAAGCCTATACAAATATGTAGTTATAGAGATGTTTGATATTTCCACCTTTATCCTTTATTATAGCTGTTTTACTCTTTCTTTCCCAACCTATCTTTGTCTATTTTTGCACTCTAGTGGCAGTTTTTGGTTTCATAATGTCACTCTGAACTGATCTTACTTCACTGCGAAGGGTTTTCCTACAACTTTCACTGTCGTTTTAGGCTTCTTGTCCTTCTATGAGACAGCCTCCAATGTGTGTCAATGTCTTTAACTCAGAGGTTGTGTTAGACTTTCGCTTTCATTTTCACACGCAGGGTTGTAAAAATTCCTAATAATCTGTTATTACACATCATTTGAATCCATGTTTTTAATAATCATGAGACATATAGCCTATTTAATAGTATTTCATTTCAACTTCAAAAACAACTCGATCACAGTAACATTTATTGCATGGAGGGAAGGGATGAACAAAGATACCGACCGTGTGCTCACTTTTCATGTCAGCACCACATGAAGCAGATGAGCGATTTTTACCTCTTTGTTGCCACTCGCTCCCCCCGCAACATTAACTGCCTCTGGCTGATAAACGTTATCAGTATTATTTATTGGCCCCTTCATCTTCCAATGCAATAATCCCTAATTTTTTAACCTCATTTATAAACAACATGACAATTATTGGGCATTTTTCAAGACACATCTGCGATATCTATGCTATGTAGCCATATAGCCCTCTCATTAGGATGGCTAAAGCCAGCTAGACAAGGAGGTCACAGATCAAAGACAAGACTACTACTGTTTTAATGACAGTTAAAAGATGTTAATTTGTTTCCCCGTCCAGGATGAACAGGCCATCTCTGACCTACGGCGAGGCGGTGCAGTACGGCATGGAAAACGTTTCATGGCTGAGGAGACACTCGCAGTGGGGAAAGTAAGACGGATGTTTTAGCTGCTGAGTTTAGCTCTGGTTAAATAAATCAGTTCTCATCTCTTATTCATGTCACCACCATACAGTTCTGTTACGTGTCGTTTGTTTGTTACACATTATGAAATAAGTGCATTCAGTAATGTAGCTTTTTTAGTTAGTTAGATGTCACATATTGTAATTTTTAAAAGCCTAAGATAAGCAACTTCTGTTGAGTTTTTAAGAAACAGTATCTCAGTTCAGTAAGAGTTACGGTGTCTCACGAGGGTATAAATACAGTTTCAGAGGCTGCAAAATCTAATTATGGTAGAAACAATGAATTCCTGCTCTCATAAAGAAGCATGTGTTATGTTGTAGGTCCTGATATTTACACCTAGTCATTTCTCAGAGGCTTTTTGGAAGTTGCTGTAATTTGGTACAAATTATTTTTATAGGGAAAACAGACAGTGTCCAAGTGTTACCCTTAGATTAGATTAGACTGTATTTCGAACGTATAAAAAATGAATTCCAATTAATTTACATTTAATTGCTGTTGTAATCTCTTTCAGTCGACACACAGGAGGTCACTAATGGGAAATATGTCTACAGGCAACCATACAATGCAAGACTTCTATAATGGGAACCAAATTACATAGTTTTTTGTTTTTTTTCCTATAGAAGATTATTCAGAAATGTACCCATAAAATGAAGCATTGCTGAAATGTTCTGGCGTGAAAAAGGACAAATTTAAATGCACTCAGCACCGTGTTAGCTTGTGAACCTTCTGTATTAGTGTGGTGACAATTCAGGCTCAATATTTCCATGCTTGTTTTCTTACCCTTTGTCTGACCTCTCTCTCTCTCTCTCTCTCTCTCTCTCTCTCTCTCTCTCTCTCTCTCTCTCTCTCTCTCTCTCTCTCTCTCTCTCTCTCTCTCTCAGACACACGGTGAACTTGTTTCTAATCATCACCCAGCTGGGCTTCTGCTGCGTCTACTTTGTCTTCCTCAGTGACAATATCAAGCAGGTCATGATCCCCACACACACACACACACACACACATACACACACGTCACTTTCAAGGCATTAACTGACACTTTTCCTAAACCTGCAATAAATACTTTTATTCAAACAGCAATGCTTACAGTAAAAGCCCTTTATTATATGTCTGTGGGTTTACTTGTTATCTACCGCTTGTTGACCCTCTCTGTGAGATTGTTTACTGTATCACTGCGTCGTCCGACCTTTAACCTGCACAGCTCTGGAACTCAGAATAAATCTATGGTGTTTAAATGCCCTAATAATTGCACAGATTGATCACAAATCGTAGTGCGTGAAACCCTTTTCTGTTTACTCTGAGTACGGACTTACTTCAGTTGATGTGGCAGTTCCCCGGTCTTATGTAAGAGTTTTGTCCACTCACTGAGAGAGAGAGTAGATTCCAGTGTACGCTCAAAGTTTACACATACCACGCTAGATACAAATAAATAGGTCACCAGCGACAGAGGGATAACAGTGATTTCCATAACAGCAGGGAGGAGAGGATTTACACCCACCCGCTTTAATAGAATACATTTTAAATTACAAATACAGTTCTACTGCATGAGGTGGAAACAAACCCATATACAGCTTTACAGTATTTGGAGGAACTGTAAAATGGAATCGGTTTGTTATTGCGAAATCTTGCACGAGAAAATATGTACATCATCGACACTGTCATGCTTCTGCTTTATGTTTGTGAACTTTATCTTTCTTATCTTGCATCTGAGTTGACAGTATTTTTAATTGCGCAAAAAAGCGGCCGTGTTTCTGTAGGGTCTTAAAACATAAAATCCAATAATCTGAATTTTAAGCATTAAAATGTATAAATATTATTTTGACATGTCTTAGAAATTCCTTGTAATGTTGCGTTTTTCAATCTCGCTTTTAATTGTATTGATCATGCTGTAACAACTACAAAACAAAACCAACATGACACCAATACTGATGATCCGTCCTATCCTTTGTTCTTTGTTTGGCAGTATGGACGTGAGGTAGGTCTTAACTTGCATTCATTATGGTCTTAAAAAGGTCTTAAAAAGTCTTAAATGTAACCCGTTAAAACTTGCAGAAACATGCAAAGATTGATACCGGTATGTTCTCTACCCAAACATTTCTCTTTATGGCGGTTGTTTTGTCTGTGTGACCTTTTACCTGTGACCCTATTACAACCCACTGACCCCATGTAATGGTTGGAGACCAGGGTGTGGTCCTGGACTGAGTAGATTTGTGTAGTACAGTTTCTTAGCAGTAGATGGTGGTGTCCGTCTACTGCGGTGGTCTCGTTTCCTCAGCTGCCACATCAACCGTACCAGCAGCAGAAAAGCTTTTTGGAAGTATTGGGTGTTAATCACTGTCTTGCACTTCTCCCAAACACTTTTGTAATATTGTGAACTAATGAGTGTTCCTGAATTGCGTAGTCATTTTGAAGTTACAACTTGAATATGAAATAACCAGGAGCTGTTCACATCAGTTCAGATCAGCATTGAGATTGTTGATCCTCCTTGAAATGTCACAGCGCTGAATCCCACCATGTCGTTTTCAGTAGAATCTCTGATTTATAACCCGACTCATGTCGCTGTGTCTTTACCAGGTGGTAGAAGCAGCCAACGCCACCACCTTCAGTTGCTACGTGAACCACACCAACCAGACCCAGGTCCTGGTGCCGAGCTTCGACTCCCGTCTCTACATGCTCTGTTTCCTGCCGGCCTTCATCCTGCTGGTGTTCACCCCCAACCTGAAGTACCTGGCTCCCTTCTCTCTGGTGGCCAACTTGGTCATGACCATCAGCTTGGTCCTCATCTACTTCTACTCACTCACGGTAAACACCAGATTTATCTCGTCTGTCTCTCTCTGATCTGTCCTGCCTTCATTAACCTTCATTAATTCACTAAATTCATTAAGATTCACTGACTCAGCTCAGCCTTTTCTTACCCTGACTATGTTTTAATAAACCAGATTTCTAGCAGTAGGTTACAAACCACATTTGGCAAGAAACAGATGTTACCTGAACCAGAATTTGCATATTTTAGCCCCAGTTTGTACTTCTCTTGTACTAGTCATAGACCAAGAAAGACAAATCTCTTCTGAAATACTCTTCTTCTGCCCACCTCGTTCAAAATGTACCTGTTTTATGATAAAAAAATATTTAAACGAATAAAAAAATATATAGTAGAAGTGACATATCTGCTTGCTGCTTTTGGACGATGCATGATTTCATTATATATAAAATATCACAATTATAGGTTTTCTACTAAGTGTTAAGTGTTTTGTACTCTTAAATGTTACACATTGGACCTTTTTTTACGTTTTTCAAAGTAGTCTAACTAGTACTACAGAGCAGGCGTTGCTCTGTTCAGTTTTTATTCAAAGTTCATTAGTATTGAACATGTCGTATGTCCAAAATGCACCCCAGGAATACACCCACCAAGTGTGAAGTCAAGAAAAGGGAAGAACACACAGCCGCCGGACATTTTCGGCTGTTTATCTGCTGGACAACATGGCCGCATTTAAAACACATCCTTTAGAAATAAAACTCACAAGCTCTCCAGCAGAAACCTGATAGAGAAGAAAGAAAAAGATCCTGATATCAGGACACTGCTCAAATCTGGGAAAAATCTGATTACCTAACTGAAATAGTAAACCCTGTTACATATACACAGCTACGCATCTATGAAATAGAAAATAGAAGAAGATAAAAAATGCCAGCATGACTGACTTCATGACAGGCTGACAGAAGCGCAGAATATTTGTCTAGATCTGTTTCTCCAAACAATAAAAACGTACTTTGGACCTGACCCTCAATTAATCACTCCATACAGTACAACTAAATACGTTCTGTGGTCTGTTGTGTAGACTATAATCTGTGGATTTGGGGCAATATGTTTCTCGATCAAAGCAATAATCTAATGGGATCTTTTCTTTATTTAGGTTTTCTCTCTCTGTTTCTGCTGTGCTGATTGGGTTCTGGGGTTGTTATGGATAACAGGACAACTGATAGTGACAGAGCCTCCAGATTACCTGTTTTCCGGTTATAGTATTTTATTTAGAGTATTTCATCATGCAGCCTTTGCCCTTTACACATACATAGCAGCCGAGTTCCTGGAGAAACGACCTTGTCTAGAAAAAAGCAATTTCTTGCATCAGAAGCCGGACAAAAATACAGCACTAAGAGATATATGTGCCCTGTAACATGTTTCTGTGGCTGATGAATCGCCTGAGCATAAAGGCTGCAAGCATTTTCAAAACCACCCTGGAATGTCTTCCTTTTTGTTGCCCGGTTGCCCTTTCTGTGTTTTAGCTCGGCCTTTAACCCCAGAACGTATGATAATATTAATCTGATTCTCACATGCTTGATTCAGTTTCATTTTAATGACGGGTTTACGGCTTTGGCTCATTCTGGTGACCTTCATTTTAAGAGTAATATAAAAAGGTTTTCAAATGACAGCAAAGACATTGTCTGCCACTGTAAGTCCAGCTGACTCTGCTGATCCTTTCAAGCTGATTCGTTGAATTAATTTTATTGTTAAAGATTATGTTTTTTTGGGCATGGGCAACAAAACAAACCAGCGACTAGTGTCGCCCATGCACCATGTACTGTAACTATTTTTTAGCAGTGGTGCACCGGCATGTTTGTTCAAGATCCCATCGTACTGATTTAAAAAAAAGTGTGCATCGGATACAATTTGGGATGAACTCAGGATGCATCATTTCTTCTTTGCAACAGTAAAAAACGATTTATTTCTATATTGATATTAGTAAAAGCCCTATGCCTTTTAATATTTAGAAATGTTACCAATCATTTGTACCATATCAAACTATCATCTGTTCATCGTATTGCATCGAATCGCATTGTGTTGAATGAAATCGCACTGCATCGCAATGGGGGGAAATTAACGTATGGCACAAGTAGTTGCTTCATATGTATCTTTAATGTATTGCATCAGCCTCAGTGATGAAGATGCACATCCCTACGAGACACTGAGTAATTGTTTAACAAGAGGACCATTTTATGACAGTGTGCAAAAGAGAAGTTTGATAACCCACACTGTTTTTTCTTCTCCCTGTTGGGTGTATTTTGCTGTAATGGCAGTTCCCTTTATACGACCCTGCTTATTTCACAGCTACTTATCAAAGACCTTAATCATATTCAATTACAAGCTAATGTAATTTGCAATCTTTGGCCAACAAAAGAGTCCAACAGGAGCAAGGAGTGGTGTCCTCTTGGCCCAAGGTATTGTTACTTAATTTGATTACAAATTATCCAAAATGGACCTCTTGACTGCAAATATGATGTGATTAGTTTTGGAACAGTAGTCTGGTATTCAGAAATAACAGATCTGCGAGTCGGAGATGAGCTTTCAACAAAGCCTTGGATTATGAAATCAAATAAGATGACACAGTATTATTCTCTTTTTCTCCCTCCAGAACATCCCGTACCCCATCAACCTACCTAAAGTCGGCAGAGCTAAAGACTACCCTCTCTTCTTTGGGACGGCCATCTTTGCCTTCGAAGGGATCGGAGTGGTACGTGACCGACTGATGATAACTCCGTCGAGCTGAAGAAAGGGTCAAACACATTTAACAGCTAAACCCCATTTACATCTGGTGTTAACCCAAAACGCGTGTCTGGATACATTATCTGGATTATGACAGCTAATCAGGGTTCTTTGCATTTACATCTGGTATTACACCTCTCATTATCTCCCTTATGTTCACATTATGATATCAGGATATCACTATGCAAATTAAGTAGGCAGAGTCGGCGTACTTGTCAACAAACGTGGAGCATCCCAGGCGGAGGGAAGCGACGCTGCAGTATAGACTCTAGGAAGGGGTCATCTTGCCGAGCAGCTTAAGATGGTCCCAAGAGGCAAGAGTAAGGTGACCTTTAAACTTGTTGAGTGGATATCTTCTTAAGAATGTGGCCAAACTGAGATGTCATTTACACTTAGCTTAGATCCCAAATCAATATGGGCCAGACTACGATAGTGATTATAACATGCATTAACTTGCGTTCGTCCTTATCCTGTTAGGACACATACATACATTCAGATGGCATGTTTACACTGGTCCTAAATGGGATATTACACTTACCATATATTTTACAAAGGAGTGGGAAGTCATCTGAAAGTAGCAAAGCATACATCTATATTGTCACATAATTTATGTTGTTTTTGTTCCATATAAGAATCCATGTGATCGTATCACCTACATGAGGGTGGAGCTTGATGCCTGGATGTATATTATGAATTCAAACCATAAAGGAGAGTAAACCCTACCTATTGTGGTTTACATCCGAGTATAACGTGATGTCATGTTGCTCAATCGTTATTTAAGCTGTGTTTACATTTTGTTGTGCGAGACATGATGCCCGACGGCTGAGCGTTTTTCATAACCATGTGTGATATAAAGTGGCCATTCGCATGAATCACACTGTAGTCAAGCCTCATGGGAATTCAAATTGGAAGCATACATGTTGTTTCAATGCACAACGAGCGGGTTTATAGCTGGCAGATATCGTACATTTATCAGCTTGTTTCGTCTGGGCATGACTTTGAAAAAGCTCCTGTTATGTTGTGTTCAGAGTTCTTGAAGCGCTTAGCAATACTGTTGGATGAGAGCAAAGTTAGTTAATCAAAAACACATATTTTTCCTCCTATCCATCTAGTGTGAGTTGCCAAGTTTTGGAGGTATCGGCCGTAGAGATGTCTGCCTTCTCTCAAATATTCTGAATCCAGATGGCACTCGGCTTGTGGTGCTCCGAGTGCCAAAAAAACTCAACAGAAGTGTCTCTTTGCAGAAATCATGACCGAGACAATCCACAGACCTTGTTGTTAGCAGTTTCATGTAGGAACTGTTTTGTTTCTACATATCACAGCGCAGAAGGAAGTGTGCGTCTCATCTACCGCGTCCTCCTCGGCTGAGCTGTAACGTGATATGAGATAGCTAACGTTCTAGCTAAGTTAAGTAAATATTTTTTTCAGATGTAGTTTTTGGCGCTTTGAGCACCACAAGCCGACTGGCGTCTGGTTCCATTATGTTAAAGAGAAGGCAGATAGCTCTATAGCTGATGTCTCCAAAATCACACCAAAACCATCAAGGTGGATTACTGGCACTACAGGTAAAATATGTATTTTTTTGTTTTTGTGGTGAACTGTCCCTTTTAAAGTGCTGATTGGATAATTGTGCAGAAGCTGCAGGCAGAAGATAATTCTGCATTGGTAGTCGATTTAACACCATCCAGATGAGAGAACATTACACTTTTCAGTACGTTGAGTGCAGTGCAGGAGAGCCTCGGTCTTCTGCCGAAATGTCAACACAAATTTAGCCTTCATTATAACATCCATAAGCCAGAATCAAGACATCACAGACTGAGAGGAAGTGACATTTTAAAATGAAAAACTCGCAGGAACATCGTTAAGACATTTTCTTTCTTCTTCTTTTTTTTTTTAAGTCTTTGGACTGTTACCTCTAATGATGTTCAAATGTCAAAGGGGAGGATGACTCACAAATCACACGTTGATTTTGCTCTGTTGTCCTATTAACAGTCTGGTTTTGTCTTTGTCTCCCTGGGTCGGCAGGTCCTTCCCCTGGAGAACAAGATGCAGAGGCCTCAGACTTTCATCCCGGTCCTGTATGCGGGGATGAGCATCGTCACCTTCCTCTACATCAGCCTCGGTACCATAGGATATATGTGCTTTGGGGAGCACATAGGAGGGAGCATCACTCTCAACCTGCCAAACTGCTGGTAAGATAACCTCGACATTCCCTGGATCTCAAATAGATTCTGGTACTTTCCCAGTCAGCGAATTAAAGCCCTATCTTTATTCTGATAAAGGTGCATCGGACGTTGTTGACACATTTATACTGTGTGTGTACAGTCCACACAGACAGACGATTTTGCAGACGCACTGTGTTCTAGATTGCTTACAAAGTGCATATTGTAGCAGTATGACCACAACTGGGACATACCACATACACTCATGAGTGTGTGCCTTGAACTTTGACCCTCTTGCTCATACGTCTGTCGCAGTCGGTAGTGAAAAATATGTAAGTAAGTGAAAAAAAAAAAAAAAAGGTATGTAATTTGGAACTGGTGCTACATTACTTACAGAGATTGGAGACATTCACTGAGCTAAAATGACGTATGCATTTGCATTGAATGAAATTGAACAGCCAGAGAAGCATGCTGGCGAGCATACTGCAGAATGCGACCTGGTGCTGTAGGATATTTTTGACATACTACATATTTTTCTGGCATACCAAATAGAGTGGGATTATGGGTATTGGAATGCACCCACAAGTCTCAGTGTTCCTCCGCGCACTCTGCGTATGCAACCTGCTCATACTGGATTTTGGTTTGATTTAATTTACAAAAGCAATAGTGACTGCTTTTTAAATCCAGTTATTAATTTCTCAGAAGTGGCTGCAGGCGAGTGCTCAACCAATAATACAACAGCAGTAGTGACTTTAGAGGCAAATGAGAGAGTGGTGGTGGAGAGTGTTCCTATGATGCCATCTAGTGGCCACCCTCAGAAGAACTGTAAACTTCCTGTACCTCCATACAAGACAGTGGGACCATCTTCAAACAAATGACTGAAGACACAAGGTTTTTGATTTCACTGATAAATGATACTGATCTTATCAGCTAATTGAATCTCTTATTTAACATGTTTTACACCCACGGCCCTCAGCACTTGATGTTAGAGTCGGGAACAAACTCCATAGTTCTAAACTTCTACAGAACGAAAATTACTCACTTTAAACTGCCATTATTGGGTAAATTTACTTAAGTCACATGTCTGTGACAAAAATAAATAGGAGTGCAACATAATAAAACCTGTCTTCCTAGTAGAACAGTGCACTTATTGTAAAGGACGTGCTGGTGAAGTCGAGGGTTGATTACAGGGCAGAGGTGCCCCAGAACCGCAGGGGGTTTTGAAAGTTCCAGATTCACTGTGTGTCAGCTGTTAACTAACTTTTGGTCTGCTTTATAGAGGTTTTAATTGATCTTCCTCTGGCACGTGTACTCATTTTATTCCTCATGTGAGCTCACTTTTTTTTAGGGATAATAAAGGTACTAAAACCAGATACTCCGAATGGATTTGTTTGCTCATTACTTGTTGCCATCGTCGCTTCAGCAGTAGACGGACGCCTTTTGAAATGTCTCCTGTGACTGGATTGATGCAGCTAATTAGTGGAATAGATTGGCTGTTCAATGAGGTTGAAAACTCAGAGACTATAATTACCAGCATGTCACTTTAAAAAAATGTGCAGAAGGCAGTCAATATTTGCTGTATGTTTAACAAGGACTACCAATTAATTCATCTTCATCTTATAATATGTTTTTTGATGGATCTTGAACATAAAATTTAGTTTTTATATTGATGGGTGAGGTTTTTTTTATAAGTTGCATTTCCCCACATTTAAATATGATTCATCTTTTATCTGTAATTTTGTCTTTTCTTTTTTTATTCTCACATTTCTGTGACTCTTTCTTTCCCTCTCAATCTACCCTCGTCCCTCAATCACTGTTTCTTTCCAGGACGTACCAGGCTGTGAAGCTGCTGTACTGTTTCGGTATTTTCATCACCTTCGCCCTGCAGTTCTACGTTCCAGCAGAGATTCTCATACCACCAGTTGTGGCTCGCGTGTCAGAGAGGTGGGAGAGAGCCGTCGACCTGCTGCTCCGCTCTGTCCTGGTCATCTTCACATGTAAGTAAACCAGTCAACAAAGTCATGCAGGCTTCCATCCACAGTCTGGTGAATCGTTGCATTGGAGTCAGTGAAAGGTGATAGAATAACTTTACATTTTAATGTGGTGCAATTTTTTGTCATTTCAAGTGTAAAATTGATCTTTCTTTGAACAGTTCAAAGGTACAATGTGATGATAAACTTTAATTTGGCTGAGAGCAGCAGGAAACCACAAGATGGAAAGCATGTTCATATTTCAAGGGAAGGGGAGGAAAGCTGTCGTAGGTGCTAGACTGACCCAACCTGGGGGCCAAATCAAATGTAACCATATCAAAGACCCGCAGCACCAGTAAAAGCACGAATTATGGATGGTTTCACCCTCATATCTTCACATCTTTAGTACATTTCATCCTGTTTGTTTTTCTTTTGCCAATTATTTGATAAAAAGGTTAAGAACATGTATGATTAACTCTGATTTAAATATATTGCATCTGCTTGGCGGCACTGTGGCTCAGTGGTTAGCTCTGTGTGGATTCTCACCATGTTTGTGTGGGTGTGTGGTTGGGTGCTCTAGTTTCCTCCACCATCAAACACATGTATGTTAGGTAAATTCTCCAGTCAGTGCCCTTTCCCACTGCTCCTAGTATTTAGGATACTACTGTTGTGACTACTGTTGTGGTGGAGATAACCATGAACTCTCTCACAACGGCTGCATCATCAGTGACATATTAACAAACAAAGAAACCCAAATTCTGACTTAACTCCACTGAAATCTGGTCCCAGGCCTTCTGATTCCCTTCTCCCTGTCATTCTATATTCTGATGCAGTCCCGTACAGTAAAGAGTAGAACGCTTTTGTTTCAGTCCTGAGCAGGAACAAGAGATTGGGGTCTGTTTTGTGCTTCCTCCCTGGCTGCTGTAAAGCTTTTGAACTTACTTCTGTAGTGCGCCTGGTGTCTTTTATTGTATTTTTCATTAGGTTTATTTGTACAAAAAATGGAGCAGTGACAATCAGCATGCCAACTGGCACTTTAAAGAGATCCCAGCCAACAAATGATAAAAAAATTTATTAGTCACAAAATGAAAAGTAGTTCAAAATGTGCGAGAAGACCACATCTAGGATCTGCCTGTTATTTGTACAGCTCTATCTTTGTTTAAAACTCTCATAGGGAGGTAAAAATGGAAGGCATAATAATTGGAAATGAATAAAATGTAATATAATAGCAATGTAGCACGTCTCATTCATGGGGTTTTGTATATTTGGACAAGACTTAAGGGAGAGCTGAAACCTTGATCAGAATAGCAAATATATACTCAGAAGGTTGCTGGTCTGAATCTTTGATTGGCTGTGAAAATTAGCAAGGAAGTCTGTTGAATCCCTCAGTTTAGCTGATCAGGGAAATCAGTTGCAATTGGTTACTGAGGGAAGTGGAATCCCCTAAGAACTACTGAGGAACTACAACTAGCCCTCTGCAACCAATTAGTTCCAGGTACTATATAGCCACAGGAAGTAAACTAGGAACTAAAAGTCCCTTTTGCACTTTCCTGTTCACAGTCCTCTGCATCTGAAGAACTGTGAAGATAAGGCAAATTAGTCCGATAAGGGATTTAAAAATGCTGGATGTGTTTAACAGTAGATGTGATATAATGAATTCATTTCTTGTTCGCACACAGTCTCTCTTGTCTGTCTTACTTCATTTTCTCTGTGAATGAAGTGGTACACAATTTGGGGTAACTCACGGGGTAACTGTTTGATCTATGAACAACTGTCCTCCCTGCAAACTCTGCCCAATAGTTCCTGAGCCACCAGAAAATACTACCCCTGGAGAACTGACCTTTTTCTGAAACCATCATGAGCAGCGTTTCGACGCAAAGCACCCAGAACTTTTAGTCCCGGGAACTACATTTCAAGGAACTGCAAGATTTCTTCAGCCCGTTGTTGTCTGCGTTTCCACTACTTCCTCACAACCTGGGAAGGGTGGGCAAATTATCCGCTGACAAATGGAAAAGCAACCAATCAGAAATGTTGCAAGCCAGACCCCTTGGGGGGGGTAAAATAGTGTCCAAGGAACTTAATTTAGACCCTGGTCCCAGTGGTGGAAACTCATTATAGTTTCTTCCTAGTCCCTCGGGACACTTCCCTGTTTTGGTTCCTCCGGTCAAAATGCTCGTCCCTTCAAAAGTTCTTGGTCCCCAGGGAAAGTTCTTTGTCTGTATCAGCAGAGCTGTTCAGTAGCTGAATAAATGTTCCACATTTGATTTTAAAACTCCTGCTTTCAGTCAGTAATAGCTGCCCTTCTGTTAATGTTTTCTGCCTCTGTGTGTGTGTGTGTGTGTGTGTGTGTGTGTGTGTGTGTGTGTGTGTGTGTGTGTGTGTGTGTGTGTGTGAGACATAAAAGTAGTGTATGCACGTGTGTGCTGTACAAGGATGGGAGGATGCTGGGGTCAGCACTTGTGTGTGTGATTCCGTAGTTTAACAGTTGATTGCCTGTGTATCTCAAGGAGTGTGTGTGTGTGTGTGTGTGTGTGTGTGTGTGTGTGTGTGTAACCTAGTCCCTACCAACAGCCACGTGTCCTGTTACACACTCACATTCCCCCATCCATTGTCCTTCCTTTCCTAGTTTCAAGCAGCAGTAAACAGTTCCCTGTAATAGCTCTGCTCACTCTATTTATGGCAGCAGTGGTCCTCGAATTGCTATCGATTCCCATTCAGTCAGGACTGCTGATCCTATAACTCCGTTGTTGTCACGTGTCTCCCCAGTCAGATTTTTGTGATTCCGTGTGGAGGGGCTGAGACATGTTGAGGTCAGTAGGGGGCAGACTTCTACTCAACTAAAGATCATCATGGGCTTTTATTTTATTTCTACAGCAACATATTGAATATTCTCTGACAGCATTGCAAGGAAACACATGAAGACGTAGTGGCCTAGACATATTAAGCACATATATTTGAACATCAGATTATGTGCGTAGTCTTATGAGAAAGACACTCAAAAACTAGCAAATGTAACACTGCAACAATAGAATAGAGCAAATATCGAATTATACTAGAATATAATAAGGGACTACACATCTTTATTAGATAGATTGATTCAATTTCAATTAAATTCTTAACGACCAATTAAACGTCAATTAATCGCTATCATTCCTAGTTTTGGTCAAAATGATAAGCCAGTGTTGACGTTCCTTATGCAGACTTAACCACCCTTTATACTACATCAGCTGACTACCCAAAAGGTTTTTTGCCACAAAATTATTTAATCGAGTCCGCCTGCTCAACAGGGTTTTTAAAAACCAGTTGCTAAAGTGAACCTGAATTTTGATTTGATTACATTCTGTAGCAAAATGTGATTGATGGTACTAATTTAATTTTGGATAGATGGATGGTGAATGGGAAACTGATCCTAACCACTGCCTCATTCTAAAATGAGTGAGGGTTCACAACTTGCCGCTGTTTAAAGAAAGAAAGGCTAAATGAGGCCTTCAAAACAGCTCACTTTGTCAAAAACAAGGAACTGTAGAAAGGAACAAGTAATTGAGTTTGCAGCAGGCACACTGAAATCGATGGCTAATCTACAAGTAATGAGGAGGATGGAAGCTCACGTCGACATTTCATTGGGTTTACAAAGAAGGTATCTGTAGGCTTGGGTATTAAATCAGTAGCAGAGTGGTGTGTTGTTTATCGTCTGCCCCAAAATGCAGTTTGCTGAAGATTAACATGAATATGTATTTCCCTTTATTTACAAGAAACAGGTCATTAAAACTTATTGGCTGTACTATTTGTCAAGATCTCAATTCCAAATGAGATTATGCTGTTTGGTTGAATGAAAGATTGAATCTGCACAAAAAAATTATCAGAAGCATCAAATTCACCGTAGAACATTATCAATGTCACTTTGATTTAGGAAGAGATTTTAAACATACTGTAGGACTGATCTATTTTTTCTATAGTTCTACATTTAATGGTCACCAGATGCTTCTCTTACTTGGAAATACTGGATTATTTCGCCTCTAAAAATCCATCTAATGAAACAATCTGAGAAGATAAATCACTGCAACCAAATGTGATGGAGAATCACGAGCAGATGTAAATTTTTTAAGGGATCACAAACCAAAAAGGGTTGGGATCCATTGCTCTACTGTAACTTTCCTACTCTTATTTTTTAACTAGGGCTGCAACTAATATTAATATATTATATATGTATAATATTATACTAAAATTTTGTTCATTATCGATTGATCTCTCAATCATTTTCCAGATCAATTAGTTATTTGGTCCATAGAATGGTGAACAAAGTTGATCACTGTTTCCCAAAGTGCCAGGCGATGTCCTCAAATGTCTTGTTTTGTCCACAACCCAAAGATATACAGTTTACTGTCATGGAGAAACCAGAAAACATTTACATTTTAGAAGTTGAAATTAGAGAATTTGGACCTTTCTTCTAGGTAGTTGTAAATTTTCTCCCATTTTCATTTCTGTCTAATTTTAACACCCTCTAACTTGCACATAAGCCGTACACAATACATATAGTGCAATATGCAACTCCTACAGCCAACAACATACATTCACTTTCTGGGTAGGTGTGATGTGTCATACGCACTTGTGGCGATGTTAAATGCTTTGCATAAAAGCCTCCATAAAATAATTGTTCATTGCATCAGTCTGGGGGAAGATGTGACGTGATCATGATATAACAGAGAAATGTGGCGATTGAGTTTGATGCAGAGGCTGGTTTCACAGCACCGAGTGCTTAAGGTCTTTATATTATGCAGATGATTTAGTATGTGAGAGAAATAGTGCAGGGTAAGATATACTATAGAGGCAGAGATATATATCTTCTGCAGCTTATTTAACTATTCTACAGAGATGTTACTATGCAATACCAGCTTTGTGCTGCAGAATTGCAGATTAACAGTTGTAATTGGGAAAACATTAAAGCCTTTTTCCTAACAAGAAATGTCCAGCCTCATTGCCATTTCCTCTTCACTGCACTTCACATGGAATGAAACCTCAATTCACGG